AGACAAGCTGAATAGATGGATGGACAGACGGACGGACGGACGGACAGACAGACAGACAGACAAGCTGAATGGATGTATGGATAGATGATAGATAGATAGATAGATAGATAGATAGATAGATAGATAGAGAGAGAGATAGAGAGATAGAGAGATAGATAGCGAAGCTATTCCCAGTAGTTCCCCTGTTGCAGCACAGTTTATGAAGAAAAGGCTCAATAATGAAATTAGCGGAAGGGACACATCTCTCGCAGACACTGAACCAACATGTCTGATACCCAAGAAACTATATCAAGAAGCAATCTGGAATGTTGAATCCAAAATACTTTGTCTTTAAGGGCATTTTGAGGAGGTGGGGGAAGGGTGCAGAGGAGGACCAGAATTGGCTTCCTTTTCTAAAGTTGAATTCAAATGTTGATTTGTAAAATGATCAATTGATATGGATGCTATGATACATCTCTCTACTTTTTTAAAACTAGAATACAAGTATCTTCTTATAATAGAAATAAGTTCTAGGCTAACTGGATTGTGCTTGTCAATTGAAAGGTGTGCTGGAAACAATTCTGAAAAATGGGCATATTCAGCATTGCTGAATGGATGGTATTCGTTTCATTGCTATAAAAAAATCAGACAAAGGAACTCTTTACTGCCCATTTTTTAAATTAAAACTTAAAATATACAATCTGAATCATAAATGCAACTTTTTATCACAGGGAGTATTTATCATAACCAGTGTTGAGATATTATTAGTTTAGTTATTTATTTGTTTTATTTATATATTATATTTGGAGGCTGCCCCTCTCACTCCAAGTGATTCTGAGCAGTGCATAATTAAAATGTAAACAATACCCCCTATAAATAGTGTATAGAGGAGGCAATTAAAACAGAAATAAAATAATTAAAGTTTAAAAAATGGCGCTAACTGACCCCATGATTGCGTGCTTCTCTACAAACACCAAGTGAGTTGGGTCTTCTAAAAGTCCAGCCAAGTGGGGGCCCACCTCATTTCTCGAGGTGGGATATTCCAAACGGCAAATAATTAGTATAACATTAGTGTACATTCTTGGCAATCCCCCAATTTGATTGGAATATTGAGTTCAGTAATATATTAATAATGTTGATGTAGTACATAGGTCTGAAAGTATCTTATGTACTTCATCTAAATAATCCAGGTCTACAATTTGCCACTTTCCCAACCAAATATAGTCCAGCACTTTTTTACATCATGAACTTCTCTTAACACCTAATTAAGTAATGATTACAGTGATTTTTCACGAGGCTAATATGATTCCAAAAGCAGTTATGAAACATAACAATGTGCAGCATGCAGCATTTTAATGTTGTTTTAATATGGTCACTCTGTACTTTTAGAAGCAGTTTGCTCTTATTCTCAACCCTGTGTAACTGAGAAAGTGAAGTGCCAACCACTCAGGTAACTCAGTAGATCATCAAATAAGATGACAACTGAAAACTGTGCGGTGTGTTTCTAGTTCTCTTTGGTAGGCCAGCAGCCTTTTCTCAGAAACGTTTGATTTTAAAAAAAAACTGACTGGTTTGTTTCTCCAGCAACAGATGGTATGAAGGTTAAAACATTTGCACGGACACGTTGAGAAGGAGTGTCTAGCAGGCCTGAGGGAAAAACCAAGGTAATAAAATATGATGGCTTACCACCAGGATACAACACACACCCTTGATTCTGCTTGCCAAAAGAATTCACCCCAGTCTATAGCACACGAGTGGAACTTATAAACTTGAAAAAAACAACAAAAATAAGACTAAATACCATGGTTCTATAAGATATACCTATGTTTTACATTTTTAACTGAATTGATACTTTTCTACATCTGTTCTGGAAGGCATGGGGATAATTTAGCATACACCCATTTATTTGTGAGGTTTGTGTTCTTTTCTTCCTGAATTGATTGAAAGGGCGATGGCTTGAAGGGACATTAAGTTAGTATTGTTCTCTCTTCTCTCTCTTTCTCTCTCTTTCATGCACCCACGGACTTACACCACACTTACATTAATACTCCAATTATTTTAGCACATTCTATTTCTAACTTTGATTGCCATACATCCTAGTTATGCAACTTCCCACAAAACCCAAAACCCTACTTTTGTTCAACTATTTACAATCAAAGCATATGCTGGACATCAAGTTTCATATACATTTCACCAGGAGACTAACAAATGATGTTTCATACTACAGTAGAGGCATCTCCTATTATATTTAGTCTACCACAGTTTTCACAGGCTCTTATCCTGACAGCTTAATTTTCTCTGACAGCTTAATTTTAGACAGACAGAATGGTTTCCTTTTTCATACCTGGAAGCTGTTCAGTTGCCTCTGAATCAAGGTTTTCCAGCCCCTTGGAGGTGATGGGTAGTGTCCATATGTATAAGCATGAAAACTCTTTCTGAATCTAAATTCATTGATTTAGTGAGTTGATTGGCCTTATAGTTTAATCAACTGTCCATGGGATTTTCATCCTCCTTTTAGTTTAATATAAAATTCAAGCCAATATATCAAAGTCATAAAAGCTTCAGATAGCTTGTTGACTTTCCTGATAAGAATATCTATTGAGGGAAAATCCTAGATTATAATGTAGAGCACAGGTGTCAAACTCGCTGCGCCATGTTGCCATCACATGATGTTTCATGATGTTTTTCCCATTCACGGAGCTGGGATGGGAATGGCCTGCCTATGATGCATCTGGTCCATAGGCTGCCAGTTTGACACCCCTAATGTAGAGTATTTCTCAGAGCCATTCTAAGGAGGAGGAGGAGGAGGAGGAGGAGGAGGAGGAGGAGGAGGAGGAGGAGGTGGTTGATCTAATCGAATAAAGCTGTTGACTTCGAACCTCCAATAGAATTTTCCATTGCACCAAGAGAAGTATAGTAGCAAAGGGCTTGATTGGCAGGATGAGATGCTACACTGACCTCATCTGAGCATCTAATATCTAAGTTGTCTATCTAAGACAGCTACTATGCTCAGTTCAATGTTTTTTTTATTAAAATGTCAACTATATATTTATCTTTTTGTTTATCTTATATGTTTAACATAAGCTATAGCTTATGTTAAAAGGCTGACCAATTTTGATGTAGCCTTTAGTCATTTAATGTTTTAACTGAGTAACTATGATTAACCAGGAAATAAAATCTTATGCATTCTAATTTCTCTGAAACAATATACCTGTGCTATGTATCTTTTTTCCCTAAAATACTTTTAAATCTACTCATTCGCCCTGTTTAAAGAAACACATAATTCAATATCTATTGTGTCTAGACTTCCCCAGTTTCACCTTATTCTAAAATCCAGTTAGAAATGGATTATCAAGAAACACAAGGGGACTATTGTTGGTCTTCAAATTTCCCCAATTTACCACTCTATGATGCATTAGAACGATAATCATCAAGATTCTCAACCAGCAAGATAATTATAGATTTCAATAGTTAACACCTTGCTTACAAATGCTGACTGTATCTATATGCATTTAAAGAAAAGTATTGAATTGCAATGTTTTAAAGAGAAACTTATTTAAAAATATGACCCTTCTATTTTCTATAAAGTAGTACTTTAATTTAATCTATATTAAGGCCTTACAACCAGAAAATGCAAAAACATATAATACACAGAGAGTTGTAGCAAATAAGACTGGTATTCTCTGGTGACTGGAATATCATACAATATTATACAAAATCAAATTAATATTTTTCAATCAACAGAAAGCTATTGATTATGTTTTTGAACAAATTAACCATTCCATCTTCCAGTCCTTCTGAAGATGGCTTTAAATAAGCCTGAGAATGATTTGAGTTTCCTATTCGTGACCATATGACCAAAATAAACAAATAAATAAATAAGGAAACAAACAAACATAAAAAATTACCGTATGGCCCCAGTTATTGGTTCCTGTATGGGCTTTGGCATAGTAGCTACCACGGGCTGTTCCATAGTTATAGCCATCAGACAAACCATCATACATTGAACCTGCAAATACAGCAAGAATATTATAAATGAAAAAAGATGATTTTTTTAAATCTCTGATTTTGGTTTAGTATTTGACTCAGTTGCCCACTTTGTGCTAAAAAGAATCAGTGAATATATGACATAAGTGAAATGTTACCATGTTGTATATATGGCTATGATAAAAAAAAACCTACATAAGAAACTATTGGCAAAGTTAATGGGACACATGCTATATGAAGCATAAATTTAAAGATGTGTATATTTCAAAGAGATGAACTGAATTCTGAAATTTTACCACATTTTAGCAGATTTTTTAATGAAATAATCATTTCTGATTTAGACAAATGATTCAGCTTGCCACGCAACATAGTTAACTTAAACTCATTATTCTTATGTTACTTAATTCTGAATATACTTAATTCTGAATATACTGTCAAGTGGGATTTCCACTATTTATTTAAGTAGTGTTACGCCAGCCTGACCAATATGATAACCATGGGAGCCCCCAAAAGAAACTAATACCTTGGGAATAGCTATGCCTCCAAGGTCAGTATGGCCTAATTCTGCTGTCCCCCCCCCCCTTAGATGTTTTTAATCCTTTTATAAGTTACTTGGCAAGTGGGCAGCCTTAGAAATAGGAGAAACAACAAACAAACACCAAAGAATTGTATTACATTTAACTGTTTTATTAGATTCATATTAGCTATTGATCTTATACCTAGAAGCAGGTAAAATCCAACAACATGAGTTCTTATTGAAACAATATTGAATCTTGGTGAATTGCCTTCATCTGTTTACTACTCCTCCTCACTACAAAGAAACTGTCTGAGGAATGGTCCCTAAATAAATAGAAAGCCATATTTTTCAAGTAATGAAAACATCTGTATTGATGTTGGGCAATATCAGAGGTCTCAACAATTTCAACAGCCTTTTATATAGCATTTTAAAAGCAGCAAAATCATATCAAGTTTTGACAATCTTACTCATCAAATGTCATAATGAGATTGCTAAAATTTCATAATATTCAATATGCAAGCTATTTTAATTTATTGTTAGCATGCTTTTTTATTATGAATGTGGATGTTTCATAGATACCATTAAGATGTGCTGTTATGGGCTCATGAATAATATATTGCCAACTTTTGTCCTCAAGAAGTTTTTCTGATCCTATGTGTAGGACAATCATTATTAATAATTATTAATAATCTTCATCATCATCCACTGCAAGATCAAGGCCTCTTTATTGATTGTTATGGATCATTATCTACAATTCTGCAGTTCAGATAGCTAAATAGATTTTTCCCCCTCCCAGCTTAGGCTGAGTCAGAGTGACTGACCTAAAATCACCTATCTGGCTTCACTGCCTCAGTGAGTCAGTCCAGCACCTTAACCACTATACCCCATGACTGCCATGGAATTTTATATATAGAAATATTAAATCAAAGTCTTAATTGCTTCAGCAATAAAGAGTAGAATTGAATAAATTCTTAATAGCTAATTACAGAGACAATGTCTCAAATCATGAAAGTCTTTTGATTTCCAAAAATTTCACTAACAGTGTGCCTCAGTGGGAGACACTGAAAATCTGAATAGCATTTAAGTTTAAATATTAAAGTGTAAAGACCTTTCTAAGCAAAGGTTATAAGAATTGCAAACTGAAGTAATTTACAATATCTGTCTGTTCTATAGATGTGCTGCATAGAGATCATGTTAATACTGTATTTATTGTGTTCGATACCACCACAATATAAACAACTCTTGAAAATTCATTGTCAGAAAAATAGCAACTGTGCCTACATATTGAAAAACAATAGCAATAGAATTTAGGCTTATATACAACACTCTCTGGGCGGTTTATAATGTAAGTATGATTTGCATATTGCCCTCAACAATCTGGGTCCTCATTTTACCAATTTCACAAGGATGGAAGGCTGAGTGTAAAGTATGGAGATCAGGAAACTCAGGCAGTTCAAATGTATATAGGAGTTTATTACACATTTAAGCTCTCTACAAGAATCTGAACTACTAACGGCCAAAACAAATTGGCAGTAGATAAGAGTCACTGGAATTCAAGCTGGGCTGAGAGACTCAAAGCTGAAAATGTGTTTGACCCCTTCCTCAGGCTCTGCCTGGTCATCTCCTACACTGAGTCAATCTTGAGCCCTGTCAGGATCAAACTCCAGGTTGGGTGAAGTGTTTGCCTGTAACACTGTACACCAGGGCTCCTTATCAAGCAGTAAAAGCACAATAAAAAATTAGCAAGTACAAATGTGACAAAGTGCAAACAGGGACAATGGCAATAATTTTCATCCACCAAAAATCTGCTCCCACATTTGGTCTTCAGCAGTTTTCAGAAGGCCAATTGTGTAAGTGCTAACCTAACCGTATGAAGGAAACCTTTCAAAATATGGGGACTGAAATGGCAAGACTTAGGTTCCATTTCCGCATCAAGTTTTGAATAACTAAATAAGTTTTGGTGGTGTGTACATACTGGATAGGTATATGGAAAAGCCAGTACACTAGATCCCATTGTGCCAAGCCATACAGGGCATTACAGGTTAAAATGAATATTTCACTTGAAAAACCTGTTTGTAACAAAAGCAGTGACCACAAAACAGGTCCTATGTGGCACCTTGGATTTAACAATAAGCAGGCCATTGCACTTTGAACCATTTGCAGTTTTCAAGTAATCTTCAAAGCCAACTCATGTATTATTCCATTGGGTAGTGATAAGCATTATTCTATTGGGTAGTAATAAGAGGCTCACATTTTTCACAGCCTCTTGATCTGAGTAACTGGTATAGACATAGCCTTTACCTGCCTATCTGATAGTAACTTGAGGCCAGGGGATGTCCCATGTTGTGGATCTGCTCTTTCATGGGTTGCTGATGCTTGATATACAGGAGGAGGAGGAGGAGGAGGAGGAAGAGGAGGAGGAGGAGGAGGAGGAGGAGGAGGAGGAGGAGGAGGAGGAGGAGGAGGAGGAGGAGGAGGAGGAAAGAAGAATCTTTAATTATAAGATTTATTGTAATTCTCCCCCTTCCCCCCTCTCTCTTCAATTCAACCAAGTGACTCTATATGACTTACAATTCTAGAACTAAAATTATGAAATAATTGAAACAATTTAAAAACAATTAAAGTAAATTATTAAAACAATAAAAATATCTACCCAAGAACTGAATGACCTAAGCCTGAGGTTATTACTGGCTGATAACTCTACCTATGCCCTAAGCAGTATTGTACCTATTTTTTCCCTGCATTTTATAATCTATATCTATAGAGGCACAGCTAACTATCACTATTCCTTCAAAATATGCCCTTGGAGAAATATGTTTCTAGAACACAGTTATGTTAAACCTGTTTACTACAAACAAGAAAGTTATATCTCCAAACACACAGGGGCCAGAACACTTTTGCAAAACTTTGGCACAGGTCCCCAAAATGTTTGGACGGATCAACTGCTTTTAAACTTCAATTAGACGTGTAAATACAAATATAGTATATTCCAGATGCATGATAAATACTGCTTAGTAGCTCCAAAGAAAAAAGCTGCCTATGAGCAGAGGTGGAATTCAGCAGGTTCTGACCAGTTCTGGAGAACTGGTAGCAGAAATTTGAATAATTCAGAGAACTGGCAAATACCACCTCTGACTGGAGATTTTATCCCCTGCCACACCCACCAAGCCACACCCACAGAACTGGTAGTAAAATAAATTGAATCCCACCACTGCCTATGAGTCATCATTATCTCATATTCTGACATCTCAGAGCATGGGCATTAAAAAAAAGTCAACAATATATTTACTTGATTCAGAAACCCTAATATGGTATAGAAGTAAATAAATATCTGTAGAAACAGAGTCTTCTTTCCTGAAAAGTTACATTTCTCCATGCTGTTTCCTGAAGTCCTTTCCCTCTGACTCATTGCTTAGCTTTTCTATATTTGCTCAAATGCCTATTCCAGATACCTATAATGCCACAAGAGTAAACTTATCTCATATGAGGGGGGAAATGACTCCCCCCCCAAAAAAACAATAAAAATATTATTTACTTTTGATTCATTACATACTGTCAAGTCATGGATAAAATCTATGAAGATCTGTTCCTAATCTGATTTTTAGGTCTTCAACAGTGCACTCAATCATCACTATAACTGAGTCTATCCCCCTTTCCTCTTTGTCAGCATTAGGCCCTTTGCCAGAGAGATCAATGTTTGCATTATGTGTCCAAAGTAAGATAACTGAAGCCTGTTGTGCCTTGAATGATAATTCTGAGTAGCCTTTTTTCATTATCTACTGGTTTGATATCTTGGCTGTCCATGGTATAAGATTCACAACAGGCTTCTCCAACACCAAAAATTCAAAAGTATCAATACCCCTCTCTCATGCTTTTGCAGGTCCAACTTTCTCTTCCATAGAGCATTGCTGGGAAGACCATAGCTTGCCTAATTTTGGTATGTGTAGATATAGATAAATCACACCATTTGAATATTTTTTCCCCAGATCTTCATGTTCTACCCAGTGTTAGTCTGCAGTATATTTCTTGACTGTTGGTTCCTTTCAGAGGTGCTATTCAGCCAGTTCGGACCTACTCGGGCGAACTGGTAGCAAGAATTTGGTGTGGGTCACTGAACCGGTAGCAACATCTAGCTGGCCACGCCCCCAACCTAGTCGCCCAGTTTCCGCTCACTTACTTGCCCCACCCACCCTATGCCCCAGTTTAAAGGAGGACTGCTCCCCCGCTCTAGCCATGCATTTTCAAGCAGCCACTTGAAAACACATGACTGTGGGCGGAGCAGCGGTCTGTTAACCTGCAAAACTATTCCAAGGCTGGACACTAGAAGTATCGCTTCCCCTTGTGAGTAAAGTGTCTGGAGTGAGGGGGAAAGAATGCTGGGGGAGGGGAGGGAAATCCAGCCATGGGGAAGTTTGCAGCATCTGCAAAAGCAAGTCCGTTTACCTGCAGAACTTCTCTAATGTTGGATTCACTTCCCCTTGTGAGTAAAGTGCCTAGAGCGAGAG